AATTGCCCAGATTAGAGAAAGGGGGCTAGGATGTAGTACTACATGGAGTAACAAATATTAGGACAGGATTGGCTGGGAGCAGTGGACTATATAGAAGAGAAACAGTTATGTAAGTAGTAAGTCTGTGATAAATTGACTTGGGGAGAGGAAGCAGCATGGAGGGCACTCACCAAGGGAATCTGACAAATCAAAATGGTTAAACACAAAGAAAGGAGACAATTTTGTGTGTATTAAAGAAAATGCTTAGCAAGAGTAGAAGTTACTTAGACAGAGGTAGTGAGGGACAGTGATATAAAAAGAGAAAATATACAACTGAACAGCCCTTCACTTACACATGCACAGACACTCCACATATAAAGCTCTGCATTCACACACAGACACTCCAAGTATACAGCCCTGTATTCACACACAGACACTACACATATACAGCCCTGTATTCACACACAGACACTCCACATATACAGCCCTGTATTCAAACAAAGACACTCCACATATACAGCCCTGTATTCACACACAGACACTCCACATATAAAGCCCTGCATTCACACACAGACACTCCACATATAAATCCCTGTATTCACACACAGACGCACAACATATAAAGCTCTGCCTTCACACACAAACACTCCACATATACAGCCCTGTATTCACACACAGACACTCCACATATAAAGCCCTGCATTCACACACAGACACTCCACATATAAATCCCTGTATTCACACACAGACGCACAACATATAAAGCTCTGCCTTCACACACAAACACTCCACATATACAGCCCTATATTCACACACAGACACTCCACATATAAAGTGTGGAGCAATGGACAAAGGTTGCCTGGTCTGATGTATCACGTATTCTTTTATATGAGGATGGCAGCCTTACTTGGGAAAAATATGACTGCAGGATGCACAATGAAAGGAGGCAGACCAGCAGAGGCACTGTTATGCTCAATGTTCTGCTGGCATTCAGAGGAATTATATTGACACACACCACCTACCTAGAAATTGTTGGAGACCACATATACCCCTTCAATGACAATGGTGTTCCCTGCTTGCAGTGGCCTCTTTCAGCAGGATAATACACCCTGCCACTCTACAAAAAATGTCAGAAATGGTTTGAGGAAAATGACAAAGAATTCAAAGTGTTGCCTTGACCCCCAAATTCCCCAGTTTTAGATCCGATTTAGCATCTGTGGGATGTGCCGGAACAACAAATCCATGGAAGCCCCACCTTGCAACTTGCAGGACTTAAAGGATCTGCTGCTAATGTCTTGGTGCCAGAAACCACAGGACACGTTGGGACATCTTGTGAAGACCATGTCTCAAAGGACCAGATCCCTTATAGCAGCACAAAGGGGACCTACACAATATTTGGCAGGTGGTTTCAATGTGTGGCTGATCCGTGTATACCGATTACATATCAGACTGATCCCACCAATAAGGCCAGTCCAGATCCAAAACGCCATCAAGTTCCCTTTGCACGAGAGATATAGCAACCCTGGATGATTGTTTTTGTCTTCTTTGGTTCTTGTCAGCGAGGTGTAGCTTATACCCTCTAGGCACAGCACAGTATCTACATCTGGAGTCCCTGCTCGGGTCTCAAAATAGTTCTTACTCACTTATGCCATTAAAGAGAGAACCTATACAATTTACATATCAGACTGATCTTATTTATTTGAATGCCAAGCCCTAGAAACATTTTTCCCAGAAGATCAGAATAGAAAGAACAGCTTTTTGTCTCAAACTACCTGGGATTAAGACCGTAGGATAATTCTTGTCAGACACGCTTAGGGTAATGGTCTACTGCGTTTACCCTATTATTTGAGGAAAATTGCTTAGTATATTGCTACCTTACAGTTGGATTAGATTCTGAATTCTAATGATGTCACACACTGATATAAACTGAACACTACACAAGAAAAATCAATAGGCAGACATTGTAGGAAAGCTGCAGATGGTCTCGTAGAAATATATTTATATATTTGTAGAGTTTTATGCAATGAGTAAACAACACTCACATGCTTAGTACATACCAAAAAATAAGCAATAGTCCACAGAAACAGTGATAATCCTCAAATAAGTCACAGAGAAAAACGGAAATATGAAAAAAGTGCGCTTTTATTAGTAAAAAATAAATGTAGACTATAAGTACATGGCATCAAACTGTCATGGCAGCCCTCATAATTACTGCCGGTTGTACAGGTATGACATTTCATACAAGCTACATAATGAGTTGAAGGGGCATAGATTTTCAAGTATAAGATTTGATTATAAATAAAACCCTTTTTTCATGGAGACTGTGAGAGTCACATGCATGGGAGGTGTGGCTAGGGCTGAATAAACAAAGTGATTTAACTCATAATTAGCAGAAAACTGAGCAGTGAGACTGCAGTGATGTGATCTATGCACCAAAACTGCTTCACTAAGCTAAAGTTGTTTTGGTGCCTAAATATTCCCTTTAATCAGGTTCTCACAGTTCAAATGTACTTGACTTGCAATTTTTTGTATTTGCGCTGTCTCTTGGTGATTAATTCCAAGACTGTTGGCCCACTGGAATAATAATATTAATGATGATGGTGATGACATACTGGGCACTGGGTCTGTTTTATTTTTCATAATAAGAAAATTCTTCAGTCCATTGGAAAGCTTTAAAAGGGATATACATCTTGGCTTGCCTATGGAAAACATTGCAGATAAGAGTCTCTTCCCTCATATCCTTTGGCATTTATAATTATGGAATTTTTTATTTTTTTATATATACTATGTCATGCATTCCTTGCTCTGCAACTCAGTCTGTTATTTTCCACTACATATCACAGGAAGTGAATTAGTTATATCTAAAGTTGTGAAATAAATTGAACTTTTATTATTGTTTTAACTTTAAAGGGAGCAACTCTTTGTTGAAAAGGAGTGTTCCACCAAAAAATGTATATCAGTACATGATCTATTAAATAAATAAGCATGAGTAACACGCTAGTGGTCATAACCAAGCAATTATAGTTGCCTTGCAATACAAATTTGATAATTTGTGGTTCAACTCCTCTTACATTCATTCGTGACTAATTTCTGTTGAATTTACGCTGATCAGCCACAACATTAAAACCACTGACAAGTAAAGTGAATAACATTGATTATATTGTTACAATGGCACCTGTCAAGGGATGGAATATGTTATGCAACAAGTGAACAGACAGTTTTTTAGTTTCATGTGTTTGAAGCAGGACACATGGGCAAGCAAAAAATCTGAGTGACTTTGACAAGGGCCTATGAGTGATGGCTAGATGACTGGGTCACAGCATCTCCAAAATGGCAAGTCTTGTGGGGTGTTTCTGGTATTCAATAGTTAGTAACTACCATAGGAGTGCGCACGGGGTGTGCCTGGGCACACCCTAATCCCTGTTTCACGCCTATGGAGTCTTAGGATCTCCCCTGTCGGCTCATGCAGAGCCGGCGCTATCAGAGCGCCGGCTCTGCTCTCAGCCTCCCTCCCCACTGCAGCATGGAGGGAGGCAGGAGAGGACCAGGGAGCTCAACCAGCAGCTCTGCCGGGTTCCTCTCGCGAGTTCTGAGCGTTGTCGCGGCAACGCTCAGATTTCACGAGAGTGAACTCTAGCCCCACACTCTCCACTGGACACAACACACACATACAGCACACACACACACACATACAGCACCCTCACACACATACAGCATACACATACAGCACCCACACACATACAGCACACACACAGACACACACACAGCACACACATACAGCACCTTCACACATACAGCACACACATACAGCACCCACACACATACAGCACACATATACAGCACACACACACATACAGCACACACACACATACAACACCCACACACACATACAGCACACACACACATACGGCACCCACACACATACAGCACCCTCACACACATACAGCACATACACACACATACAGCACACACACACAGCACACACATACAGCACCTTCACACATACAGCACACACACACACACAGCACACACATACAGCACCCTCACACAGCACACAGCAGCCCTCACACACATACAGCACCCACACACACACAGCACACACACACACACATACAGTACCCACACACTCACACAGCACTCTCACACACATACACCACACACACACATACAGCACACACACACAGCACACAGATACAGCACCCACACACTCACACAGCACCCTCACACACATACACCACACACACACACACACATACAGCACACACACACACACAGCACCTTCACACATACAGCACAGAAACAGCACCCTCACACACACAGCACACTAACAGGACCCTAACACACACACACAAACACCCTCACACACACACAGCACACAAACAGCACCCTCACACACACATCACAGTAACAGCACCCTCACAAACAGCACCCTTACACACACACACAGAGCACCCTTACACACACAACACCCTCAAACCACCCTCATGCAGCACATACACACATGTGTGTATGTGTGTGTGTGTGTGTGTGTGTATATATATATATATATATATATATATGTGTGTATGTGTGTATATATATATATATATATACATATATATATATATATATACACACACACATACATATACACAAGGCATGTGTTTGTGCTTTAGGGTAGCTACTGTAGCTGAAAGTGTTGAAAAACGTAATGCATCACAGTGTACAGTACATCGCAGTTTGCTATGCACACTGGTCAGAGTGCCGATGATGATCCCTGTCTACCATTGAAAGTGCCTTTAATGGCAATGTGATCATCAGAACTGGACCACTGAGCAATGGCAGAAGGTCTCCTGATCCGATGAATCTCATTTTCTTTTAGATGAAGTGGATGACCGGGTGCATGGGCATCATTTACCTGGGGAAGAGATGGCAGCATGAACTATGGGAAGAAGGCAGGCCAGCAGAGGCAGTGTTATGCTGTGGGCAATGTTCTGTTGTGAAACTTTGGATCTTGGTATTCATGTGGTTGTTAATTTGAAATTTACTACCTTCATAGCCATGGTGTTCCCTGATGGCAGTGTCCTCTTTCAGCAGGATAATGCACTCTGCCACACTACAAAAAATGCTCAAGAATGGTTCGAGGAACATAACAAAGAATTTACAGTTTTGCCTTGGCCCCCTAAATTCCCCAGATCTCAATCCGATGTATCATCTTTGAAATGTGCTGGAACAACAAATCTGATCCATGGAGGCCACAACTCACAACTTGCAGGACTTAAAGGATCTGCTGCTAATGTCTGGGTGCCAGACACCACAGGACACGTTCAGAGGTCTTGTGGAGTCTATGCCTCAACACATCAGAACTTTTTTTGTCTGCACGAAGGGGACCTACACAATATTAGGCAGGTGGTTTTTATTTTGAGTCGGACCAGTATATATTAGAATCAAAGTATTATGATTGATATCTGAGCTATAGGAACAGTTCTCATTCCCATGACATCAATGATAGATGACATTAACAGGAGGATATACATGGCAACATACTTCTTGCAAGCCTTCCAAATGAGTATTAATTATTAGAATTAAAATCAATCAGTTTCTACTTAATCATAAGTGTAAAATTTAATCAAAACAAAATAAAATGAAAAATAAATAAATAAAAAACACAGAAAATTGGTCATTTAACCCCTTCCCGACCGTGGACGGAAATTTTCCGTCAACCTTGTCCTTCAGTTAAGGACCGTTGACGGAAAATTTCCGTCATTTTCTTAAGTTAACCCCAGATCGCCGTGATCGCGGCAATCGCGGGGTTAACGGTGCTCCGGTCTGCCTCTGCATTAGAGGCAGACCGGGAGCACCCGATCGGGCTGCCCCAGCACCGGTGCTCGCTCTGACAGCATGTCAGAGCGAGCACATGTGCTCCACATACTCACCTTCCGCCTCCCTGCACTTCCGGGTTCTGTGTGAAGTGCAGGGAGACGGATCAGTGCTGATCTGCTTCCCTGTGTAAAAAAAAAAAAAAAATTAAAGTGAAATCCCACCCCCCCTGCCCCTGTTTTAATAAAATTAACCCCTTCCCTGCCAATTGATCACTGACTACAGTGATCAATTGGCAGGGTATACATTTTAATGTCATCTGATTTTTTTTTTTAACCCCTGAGGGTTAATTATTTTTTTTTTAACCCTCAGGGGTTAAATTTATTTTAATTAATTTAAATATTAAAAATTATATATTTAGCTAGCTGGGATGGGTGGAAGTTAGTGGGGAATTGGGGAATTTGGTGTTAGGCTAACTAGGGGTTAACGTTAAAAAAAGTTTTAAAATAAGCTTTAAAAAGGTAAAAAAAAATTTTTTTTTAAATGTTTTAGTAACGTTTAAGTAAAAAAAAAAAAAATACCACCCCCTTTACCCAGTCTAAATAAAAATTAACCCCTTCCCTGCCAGCTGATCACTGCCTACAGTGATCAAAATACAGATCACAGTATTATACTGTGATCTAATTTTTTTAACCCCTGAGGATTAACTTTTATTTATTTTTTTTAACCCTCAGGGGTTCCATTTATTTAATTAATTAATTTAAATATTTTATAATTAAATATTTTGCTAGCTGGGGTGGGTGGGAGTTATGGGAAAATGGGGAATTTACGGTTAGTGCTGCTTACTGCTAGTTAGGGGTTAACGGTAAAAGAAAAGTTTAGAAAAAAAATTAAAAGTGTAAAAAAAGTTAAGATAGTGTAAAACATTTAATAAGTAAAAAAAAAAGTTTAAAAATGGGTTTTACAAAGTAAAAAAAGTTTTACAAAGTAAAAAAATACATTTAAAAATGCTCATTACCACTACACTTGGTACAAGCTAGCGGAAATATTATCCCACGCTAAGGTTCAAAATATGCCTTTTGAATTACCCTGGGATGTCTTCTTTAAGAAATGATATGCCTTTATGGTGTAATTGGATGATATAGCCTTGTAAAATACTCTAAAATGGGACATGGACACAGCGTAAAAATTCAAAGTTTGGAAAAAACTGGAATGGCTGTGTCTCAAATGTGCCCCTTCAATGTCCACATATACCTGGCAAAGGTACATACGGGGGTATTGCTGTACTCAGCGACATAGCTGAACAACATATGAAGTAGTATACAGTCGTAGTACACATAAGGTTTGCAAAATATACTGCGCAAACTCACTTTGTGTGTCAAAAAGGCAGAAAAAATGCTTATTACCACTACACTTGGTACAAGCTAGCGGAAAAATTATCCCACGCTAAGGTTCAAAATAGGCCTTTTGAATTACCCCGGGATGTCTTCTTTAAGAAATGGTATGCCTTTATGGTGTAATTGGATTATATAGCCTTTTAAAATACTCTAAAATGGGACATGGACACAGCGTAAAAATGTAAAGTTTGAAATGAACTGGAATGGCTGTGTCCCAAATGTGCCCCTCCGATGTCCACATATACCTGGCAAAGGTACATACGGGGGTATTGATGTACTCAGCCGACATAGCTGAGCAACATATGAAGTATTATACAGTCGTAGCACACATAAGATTTGCAAAATGTACTGCGCAAATTTACTTTGTGTGTCAAAAAGGCAAAAAAACGCTTATTACCATTACACTTGGTACAAGCTAGCGGAAAAATTATCCCACGCTAAGGTTCAAAATATGCCTTTTGAAATACCCTGGGATGTGTTCTTTAAGAAATGGTATGCCTTTATGGTGTAGTTGTAATATGTAGCCTGCTCAAGTGCTCCAAAGTGGGCACGGACGCATCAAAACCCTCCATGAAAATTCACACTTAAAAACCTTAACTTGTTACGTCTCTTTTATAGCAGTGTAACTTCACAAAATAGTGTCTAGGTCATACATTGGGCATATTGTTTTACTCAGAAGACTTAGCTGAGCATAATTTGGGGGTTTGAACTTAGTGGCACATATGAAATGTACAAAATGCCCAGCAAAAATGTAATCCGTATGTAAAAAATGCCCAAAATTATTTTTTACCACATACTTTGGCATATATTGGTGAAAAAATGGGGGTATGTTAAGGCACAATATGCACCATATGAGATACCCTGGAGTGTCTACTTTTATAAATGGTAGGCCTTTGTGGGTTTTTTTTGAACAGTCAAACTGCTATAATACCCCAAATTGAAGCATAGGCCCATTAAATCCGCCTCTCAAAATTCTACTGTAAATGTTGAAACGGACAGGTCTCCTATATGGCACTGTAGCTTCACGAAATAGTGCCAAAGACATACAATGGGGGTATCGTTGTACTCAGCAGAAGTAACTGAACACAAAATAAAACTTTGTACAGGAATAGCACACACCAACTTTACAAAATATACATGGGAAGTTCTTTGTTATAAGTTTGTGTGCCAAAACTCCAAAAAACTAAATTTTACTCCAATATTTAGCAGAGATTGGCAGTGAAATGGCTACTTAGAAAGTGTCAAAAAAACCTTAGGACAATAGCCTGTGATGTCTACTTTATATAAATATATACTTTTGTGTGGCAATTTTGTTTTCTTTTATGGCTATTAAGCTTACAAGACAAACATACAAAATTCTAAAATCGCTCTACATTAAAAGTTTATTTTACTCCTTGTGCTTTATGACCTGTAACTACCAAAAAAAAACTTTAAATCCCAGACACATTATATATTTTGTAAATCAGAACAACTAAATAAATTTATTTTTAATTACTTTCTTTAACCTGCACTAATTAGGCACACATTATTATTGCAAAAACTGTACAAAAAACACCAAATTTTTCTTTTTTTTTGCATTTTTCTGTATTTTTTAAATAATAAATAAGCATTTATATATATATATGTTACATCAAATTAAAGCCCTTTCTGTCCTTTAAAAAACAGTATAAAATATGTGTCCGTGCAATAAACGAGAGAGATGCAAATTGCAGTTGAACGCATACAGCAAGAAAATGCAAAAATTGCTTGTGTCATTAAGCGTAAGACAAGCTTCTGAAGCTGTGTCCTTAAGGGGTTAATTATGAATGTATCCTCTCAAGTGACATGTGAGAGTTAAAGTTTACCTGCCATCTATACCTTGTGTAAGTAAAATCACTAGTAAATATATAGAGATGAAAAGTTATCTAACTATATATTAATTTAAACTTTTTAGACTTTAATGCTATACTGTTGGCATTGTAATAAAGACTAGAAACGTTGTGGTCTGGAGTAACCACACACATGCCAGAATTACCACCAAGAGAAGTTCAGGCATTCCATAACTCCGTATAAGTCCTGTTTCTCTGGGAATTGTGTGATTCAGTTTGCAAAATGTTGAGCATGATGGTTGCATGTAAAGCCACCTTGCCACTTTCAAAATGTAGGGATAGGTGACAAATAAGAGGTACTTCAGTTAAGTAAATAATTTAACCTATATATTTGCTGGTTATTTCCATTAGGTAAAGTAGGCACACACCTATAGGTGAAACTAAACAAATCTACAATACAAAAAAATGTAGCAAAATAGTGTAATAACATCAGAGCACTATATTTGTATAAGTGGACTATTGCACTCACAAGTGTAGGTAGTAATAAAGCAGAACACATATCACTATATGAAGGATCTTCTATCTTGAAATCACAATATGCAGAGTGATATGTAGAAGAAAAAATAAACAACAGGCATAGTGCAAACGGTCATATCATTAAAACACCTTTACTAATAATTACACTTACAAATGTTCACAGGACAAACAGGCACATCAAAGTAGGCTGTAAAAGATTCCTCTGCAGCAGTATCATCGGACTGGTCCCTAAACAGTGTCTTAAAAGTGCTCCAGATGTTAGGAATAAATAAAATAACATAACATAACATAATAAAACTGCAACATGCTAATAAACCCTACGTGTTTCGTCTGTCAGTGCATGGACTTCCGATTCTGTCAACAATATAAGAATGAATTATGCCACCTTGGCGCTTAAATATCCAGCCTGGCGAATCCCTTGGCTCAATCTAAGCCAATCCTATAGGGATCGGCATTCTTGTTCTCATCTCCATTGAGTTTTCCTTCATTTATAGACTTCACATCTCGTTGTGGGTCTGTGACGTATATCTGCTTCCAGAAGCCATAGTGCTCATCTCTCATCGGCAACCCCAGAAGAAATTGCATTCTAAAAATAAGTTCATAGTCCACCTATCACATATTTAATAATAACCATAGAAAAATAAAAAAATAAAACAGTATCAAATGGCAATGCAGATATTGGTATTCATACAAAAGCATATT